ACTCAACATCCAATCATAAACAAGCATTAAATTAAATACCCATAAGGTTTACACATTAGGGTTGGGTTATAACCCTAGTAAGAATCTAGCTACTCATAGTGAGAATTGAAGAAAATAAAGAAGAAATGCAAATTAAACTTGTAATCAAAGATTAAAATGATAAAATATAATGTTTAAACAATAAATAATCACAAACTTCTTAAAATGGCAAAATGTAATGCCTACAACATCTCAAACTTCGAAACTTGACCTAAAAATATAAAACTCGTCTATTTATAGTGGCCCAAAATTAGCTAAAGAAAATGCCTCTAGGGAGGTTCTGTAACCGCACAATTCCATGTGCGGTGCGAAGATTTCTTCAGTTGGCAGGATCTTGGATTCTGTAGCTACACAATTCTGGATTGCAGCTGAGAAGCATTTTCTGCGGTCGCACAGTTATTGTGTGGTCCACACTTCACAAGGCTTCAGGTCTTGGTCTTTTGCACACTCTCTGAACTTTGAATCATTTGTCAGTACAGACCTTGTTCTGCGGCAGCACATTGGCCAAATTCCTATTGGACCCTTTCATATGATCTGCGGCCGCATATAGAATTCTACGGTCCACAGTTTCTTCTGCGGACCGTACTTCTTTAGTTTTGCACCCTTTTTTGCCTTTTGATTCGGAACACTTCTTTTTTGGGTCGAATTTCATCATGGGAGACCAAACTTCCAACATTCCTGCAATATGCACACTTTCATAAGTTCAAGAACATAAATCTATATTTTCGAACTAAAACAAAAGCAAAAAGGTACTAATAAGTAGTCAAAATCCCCACTTATCAGGCAGCAGGATCTCTCATCGGATTGTCACTCTTTCTAGGTTAAACCAGCGAGGAGTTTTATGGTCGGAATGATGCTTCTGGTGAGCTTGGTTTGCTCCACTACCCTCCATTTATATAATATTGGTCGAACTCCCTAGGTCCACCAGAACACGTTTGATTTTAAAATCTAATACATTTAAAGAGATTACCAATGCATCGTTATGCAGTAGCAACAGTCCATCGGTGTCTTCCTCCGTGAAAGTGATGTCCTCTTCAGTGACTTCGGGAACTGTGCTTCTTTAATATTCCTCATAGACAACACCAACTTTACTACACTAACGTTGAAGTTATATTCTGAAAGTTTGGGGTAGGAAGAATCTCGAGAACCTGACGATTCCTTATCCTATAACGTCTTGTTGTTCCGGTCGCGATCAGTTCTTCTATCGGTAACGAACCTATCCGCCGGCCAAAAACCTCTGCCGCATCCTTCGGCCCATTCATAAGGCAAAAATTGGCTCCTCGAAGACCGTCGATCTGTATCGAAATCATCTTTTGATTTCTCTTTATTCTTTTCCTGGTCCCGACCCTTAACCGACGCTAGAAAACCGAGCTGCTCATCCTCAATCCTTATCTTTCACTCGTACTGGTTGTGAACATTCTCCCAAGTTGTTGCTTGGAACTCAAGCAGGCTTTCTTTCAACTTCCGGGAAGCATCGAAACTTCTCGGATTCAAACCCTTGGTGAATGCTTCTGCCGCCCATTCATCTAGAATGGCCGGTAGCAACATCCTTTCCTTTTGGAACCAGGTTACAACTCTCGCAGCAACTCGGACTGTCCTTGTGCAATCCTGAATATATCAGCTTTTTGGGCCTGTACCTTTCTGGCCCCGACATGGGCCTTAATGAAAGAATGTGCGAGCATCTCGAAGAAATCTATGGAATGCTCAGGCAAAAGCAAATACCAGGTCAAGGCTCCCTTTGTGAGAGCCTCTCCGATTTTTTTCAACAAAACTGACTCGATCTTGTTGGGAGCTAAATCATTCCCCTTCACTGTCATTGTATAAGTGGAGATATACTCCTGAGGATCTGAAGTCCCATGATATTTCGGCACGTCTGGCATCTTAAATTGCTTCAGGATCAATTCTAGTATCGCGCTTGGTTTGTACGGAAATTGAGTGTACTTCTTTGAGTCCGACCCTTTCAACACTGGTGGTGCATCCGGAATTCGGTCCATGCAGGCATTCACTTCCCTCATAAACCGTATGACTTTGTTTTTTAAGGGATCACTTTTGTTGTTGTGATCGGAATTGCTTTCCTGCCCCATCGAAGCTAACCACGCCACTCGGGGTGTTGTTTTCGACTCTCTATATTGTTTGATTTGCAGGAGCACTGGGAGGAACTGGACCTCATCCATTGGCGTTATTAGAAGCACCCGATAACGCCTGCTTTAGATCTATCATAACCTTATCGTGTCGTGTGAGATGACCTAGAATGGCCTCTTGTTGCTCCTGCAATACCCTTACCGCTTCGACGACGTGCTCCTCTTCATCATCATCAGGAGTCGCTTCTCGAACATATCGCGGGTACCGCCTGTCGTGGATTGGCGTGGCCTCATTCCCCCTTACTGCGTGTATCACTGATTGAATCCTCGTGCTCAGGCTGATTTCTTTGGGCCTCAAGATTGTGAGTGTTGTTAACACCATTATCTATCATTTTCTATGATTTTTTGCGAAGAACAAATAATCAAACATGTTAGTAAAAGAGGTAAGGACAAACTTAACTACACAACCGTCTAAGATCCACGGTAGGTGCCAAACTGTCACCTATAAAACGGTATAGTTGAATTTATACGTGGTTTATAGACAAGTGAATTAATTTGATCCTAAAATAATACTCCCTCTCTTCCAGTTTATGTGAACCTATTTCCTTTTTGGTCCGTTCCAAAAAGAATGAACCCTTTCTAAATTTGGTAACAATTTAGCTTAAAGTTACAACTTTACCGTTAATGAGAAGCTTTTATAACCACACAAATACTCTAGGCCCCATTTGAACTTGTTTAGGATCACAAATTCCAAAAGTCTTCATTTTTTACTTAAACTCCGTGCCCAGTCAAACAGGTTCACATAAATTGGAACGGAGGGAGTAGATGAATTAGACAAAAATGTAATACTTAGCCTTGAGATGAAGATAAAATAGTAGAAATAATACTGGGAACATGGCTTTCAGGCGCAATAGCAACGATATCAATAAACAAGAAGATAGAATTATATTGAGCTTTGAGCAGAGTGTAGCGTATGTTTGCCAGAAAATTCGTGTCATTTACAATGATAATAGAGCTCACAATTTATAGTTGCACCTAGGAAACAAAGTCCTAGGATCAAGCCTCACTTTAATGTCAATTATGAGGGACATTGAAGAAAGTGTAACGACATGCAATGAATATCATATTCCTTGTAACGGGCCGTATACTTAATATTTTAGAATATTTCTCATTAAATGCTACCAGGTAGCAGGCATTTACTCTATTTTTATGAGTATCATTCTCTCTGGTAACAGATGATATTGTTGCCTTCGAATTCAACTATCTTCTGTCTTCGGCTCCACGCGTCACTCCCTCGTACGATCATTTAATATAAACATATTCTACCTATACAATTACTCTAATTCATAGTAATAAATTGAGAATACTAGCAATGAAAAAGCTAATATATTCTGGCCGTTGTTTTCAATAATTTCATAAATTTTAAGGGAAGGATATTTAACACTCCCTAATGCATCTTAAATTTGGAAAAAGATGAAAGTGAAGTTAAAATTTCCAGGAAAAGAATTAAAGAAACTTGAAAACAACTAATCTGGTGAGGAAGACAGCTATTAGGTAGTGACCCATCATTATTCGTTGGTGAGGCTATACTTTAATAATGACTCACTTGGACACTCTGTCAAAATACGGGCAACGGGTAGCTCGCTTAATTTCCTTTCAGGTCATTATAATTTAATTAAGTGAAGTATAGATTATAAATTTATCAACTTCTGTAGAATTTCCCTCATTTTAAATCCAAAATATATCGTTCTGGATTACAGATATTGGCAGCTTTACTCATACTTATTTGATATAATAACTCACAAATCATTAACTTAAAATACGTGCATAACGATTGTGATTGTTACTGAATTAAGTAATTACTCATCCATTTATTAAAATATTTAAATGTTTATTGATCCTCTTGTTAAATAATCATTAAGACCATTAAACTCAAAGCTGTATGACAGAAGGCAACCTTCTATTTTGACAATAAACAATTAATTTCTTTGCAAAATTTTGTTCTACCATTCATAGAAAAACAATAAAGACGATGACAAATTTTTCTTAGCAAAATTAAACACATAAATCGCACAAATATGGGTCTAATCATATGAAGATTTTACTTAACTTTGATGAAGGTGAAGTGTTTTGATTTGTCTACTCATTTTTTAATCTTAAGAAATCTTTCTAATTGGGAATGCACGACACATAACGAACACTAATTAAGTTGAAACATTTCTAAGTGATTTAACTTAATCACATTAAGTTAAAACGCATAACATAACAAAATTCTTTCTTGACACTTGAGATATATAATAATTGCATCAATATACAGAACAAAAAAGAAAAATAAAAAAAGTCACTCGTTGTGCTATTAATTCAGGCAATAAAAATCAAATTCGCGTAGTACAACGTCAAAAGCATCTTATTTTACTTTAGACTTCTTTATTGTATAATCTCTTTTATTTTCTTTAAAAGAAATTTATATATGTTAATCATTATCCGGTAATCCATTGTAATTGATAAAAAAACACATTACAAAAATTGTGATAGAATGAATATGATCCTTCCACCGGGCAAGTAGGAATCGAGTTCAAATCTTGGGTAAGAAAAAAATCCTCATAAAAAGTGCTTTTCCGGACAAGATGTGAATCTATATTATCAGGACCCTAATGCAGATACTGCACACAGAGTGAAAATTCGAAAAAAAAAAAAAATACAAAGCACGACTATGTTTGATTTAATTATTTAAATCTATATTCACCTTACGAGGGAGGACTAAGAAAGAGAAAAAAACACAAGGATAAGAAATATAATCATCTCGGGCAGCTAATTAACCTGCCCGAAGTTCATCTTCGCTTCCCCCAAGCTATCCTCTACACCTATATATAAACACAACTAATCTCTGAGCCTCATAACTTCCTACACTGTCGCTACAATTTCTCGAATAATTCCTTTGTTTAAGCATTTCACCATTTTCCTTCCAATTTCCTATACTATTTTCATATCCTGTTTACAAAAATGGAGGCAATGAAGATGAAGATGTTCGTCGTTGCACTCATGATGATGATGGTAGCCATCTCCGCCGTGAAGGGCGTCGCCGCCGCTGATGCTCCGGCACCTGCTCCGGCTTCCGATGCAGCCATTTTCGTCCCCACCTTCTTCGCTTCCTTAATCGCCGTTGCATTTGCTCTTCTCTTTTGATCTATTTGTTTGGATTTTATGAGCATGTTTTGGGTAATTACTATTTGTGGTTTTTGGAAGGCTTTGTGGATTTGGGGTTCTTGCTTTGCGACGAATCGTCGTTAATCTATTTATTTATTTCCAAATGTTATTAATATGTATTTCTGGACTGGGGTAATATAATGGGAAATTAGGGAATAACCCATAAATATCTGGAGTCTGGTGTTCAACTTTTATGTAAGCATTTTCTAGTTTTATAATTCCATTTTTTGCTTTGTTCATTTAGTGTACTTTGATGTTTCTTTGTATGCTGGTAAATGTACTTAAAAGACGTTTTAACCTTTACGATATGATTTTAAAATTTGGAGGACTAGTTTAAAAGAAATGCTTTTAGGGGTGGGCGGGTGGCAGTGGAGCAATCTTTTAGTGGCGGTTTAGATAATATTTGGTTGAAATTTAAAAATAATATTATGACTTCAAAATTATGCATGAACATGAATTTCACTTGAGAAACAAGTTGTAATATTTCTCTTTATGCTTTTTTATTTTATGTTTATCGCTTTGGTTGGACCAAAAAAAAGGAGCTTTCATATATTCCACAATATATTTTTATGTTATGATTTTAATGGTTTTTACAAGTAATATATCAATCAAAACTCATCCAACAAAAGAAAAGATAAAACTTAATTTTTTAATTTAAGTTATTTAAATGAACCCTCGTTACTGAATTTTATCACATGAACACTCTAATTTGAATAATTTTGAAAGAAAATTGTGAGCAGTACGTTTATGCATAACTCATATTAAGGTTGGCACCATTAATGATATTAGCCCAAATATTAGTTATATAACCTTGACTGCCAACTACAAATTGATAAAAATTGAAATCATGTGAAAGCCATAGTGTTGATAACTAAAGGGAAAATTTGAATACAAATTAAGTTATGAATAGCATATAAAAAGGGTATTCCGACACACAAGTATTCTGTATTCACATAGGATTCCGGGAAAGATCGCACCCATATAAATAGCATATGATGTTCTAAAATATTTACCAAAAGCCGGACATGATTTAGAAGCACAATTATAACCTCCTACTTTTTCCCAACGAAACCACTATCATTGAGAACGAGTATTTGTGAAATGGCACAGGTATGGTGTAAAATTAGTTTAATGGTAACATGATGTGTGCAACCGAGAAGATCGGCAAAAAGCAAGTCAAGTAACGATTAATATCGGATACAACAAATGCAACTGATATCGGGTAAATCCCGAAGGGAGCATAGTAAACGGGAGAAGATCAAATTTTTGGCATCGGATAGCTTGAATGAGAGAATATTCTCTAACAATAAATGAGCGACTGTTGCAGAGAATATTTGCATTCATGGCCTGCCGTTACATATTCATCGATGATTCTTTTGTTATCATTTAAGACGGGCTTGATCCTATGATCTTGTTTCCCTAAGTAAAACTATAAATAGCAGGCTCAACAGCCATGGTAAGGACAGAAAATTCTTGGCAAACATATGATGTGTATTTTATTTTTTCTCTCAATTAAACAACTTTACTTGCTTTTTATCATTACTTTCACTTTTGTCATCGGAGACATTTTCGGAGCTAGACTTGTCATCTTCTTCAATTTTAATTGCTAAATCTCATTTTTAATCTTATTTCTTTATTATTTTTGGATCAAATCAATTCGCTTGTCTATAAATTCCGTAACAAATTTAACTGTACCATTTTACGGATAAATAACACAAAAGCTTCAAATTAGTCAAATGCTGCAACCGATCTACGGGGCATGTCAAAAGTTTGCTTTTGTGGAGAAGTTGCCTAAATAAGTGATGGAGCCAAAAAAATGAGAAAAATTAAAATAAACACACAAGAAACTAAGGAATTTAACATATAATATATATATATATACGTAAAGAAAATACCTAGCTATATATTTACCGAAGTTCAAGTTCCAAGACTTTACGAGCTAAATGTAGCTTATTCAAGGGAATCAATTTACACACACACACACACACACACACATATATATATNAGTATTGAGATAAAAATTTAATACCAATTTAATACTTTGTTTGGTTAACAAACTTGGAATAAGTTATTTCAGGATTAAAATTAGTACCGGGATAACTTATACCTTGTAGTAGATAGGATAATTAGTTCCGGAATAACTCATACTTTTTTCTTAGAAATTATGAAAATGTCATTTTTAATACAACATATCAAACGATGGATAAAAAATAACCACAACATAACTTATAAAAGCATAACTTATCCCAGCATAACTCATATTCAAACCAAACGACCCCTTAGTTGTAAGGTTTCAATCCTATCATCCTCTAGATTTCCTAACTTCATATTCTTCCATATTTACGGATACATCTCAATCAATCAATCAAAGCCAATAACATCTCACAAGTGAGGTATTTACTAGGGGTGAGCATAAAATTCGAAAAACCGAATTTCGAACCGAACCGAATTAATTTGGTATTTCGGTTCTGGTTTTTTCGGTATTTCGGTTTATTTCGGTACAGAAATTTCGGTATTTCGGTAATTCGGTACGGTATACGGTATTGGATTATTGATATTTCGGTATACATAAATAATATAATGAGGTGAGATCAATATTTCGGTCATCTCCACACTTGCACTTGTCTTCTGATCAGAATATGCAGATTTTTCCTCGTCAGTTGTCGTAGAAGACGACCGTGAAGAGAAGTGCCACGGCGATGAGTGTTAACGTTAATGCTAAACTTCCGAAAAGGTAAGGAAGTGGAGATTTCCAATGCAACAATGAAGTACTACCATTTGAGCCCATAGTACTACCACTAGAGATGGAGGTTGAGTTTGTGGCTACAACCCTCATTATTATAATTTTCTCAGCTCTCTCTATATATATATGTTGAAACTGTGTTATAGCTGAAATAAAAATCTTGAATTGTGTTGGGTTTTATAGAGGTAGTGCTGCTGTACAAGCACTGTACAAGTCCTATAAATGAAATTGCTAAAATGGCACTAGGCTCCAAAAAGATTCTCCTGTTGCTTTGCAAATTGCACGACAAAATTTGTGAGCGAAACTGTGTTAAAACAAAAATCAGAAAACTGTTAGAAGAATAAAGAAATGTATAAAATAGTAAAGAATCAGAAATATTCCGAGTCCATAATTTTTCTTGTGCGTCCTTAAGGAATTTTAACCCCCTCACACGTTGCCAAGGTAATGGATTAAATCCTCCCAGGATAAAACGGAATAAACCTTCCTGCAACAGTGGTAATACAAACTGCAGGATTTCAACGAACTCAAAGACCGGAGCAAAATCACACTTACGAATTTGAGAGAGAGAAACTGCGAATTAGGATGCAGTATATTCAGAAAGAAAGAAGTTCTGGAGTGTTTTTCCTATATTGAAGATGCAGCCTTGCCTCAGAATTTATATGCAAATATTAGAAGAGGTGTCTGGAAAGGTGTCTTTTCAGAAAATACGTGGCCTACCGCGGTTCAACCGCGATCGTGGCAGAACCGCGGCCAGAGAGGCTCTCTGAATCTGTCTGCCGTGATTCTACCGCGGTCGCAGCAGAACCGCGGCCAGCGAGGCCCTCTGAACTTTCAGCAGGGTTCTAGCGTAGTTTCAGCAGTGATTTGGCATTTAATTAATTATTAAATAATTAAATAAATTTTGTCGAAAAAATAATCTTATCGATCATTTGACAAATCCAAATCTAAATCCGAAGCCGAAGCCGAAGCCGAGCCGAGCAAGCGACGACGACGGTGCGAGGGTTCATTCTCTTCAACTCCTTTTTAAGAGCTTTAAGAAGTGAATCTATATATAATCATACAAATGTGATTGTCCCTCACCAATGAGGGACAAAGTGCAAGACAAAAGTTCACTTCTTCAAATTTTCATTTTCCCTCCATTTTATTTCCCTCCATTTCCAATTCACACTTCTTCTACTTTAAAGCCCAATGGCTTAAAGTCCAACAATCCCCCACATGAATGAGAATGGCTGTATCAAGAAAGATCATAGATGAAAGCTATGCGATTTTGCAAGTAAGGATTAATTGTATCTGGATAAGTAGGTTTCCCTTTGAACTTTCCGTAATGAACATATGTCGGATATACTCGGTCAATCGGTAGATTTGATATCTTTGAACCGTCGAACTTTAGTGTATACCTAGACAACCATATGCCACACAACCAACCCTTAACCGTCTTTTGGTTCTCATTGTTGTGTTCGTTTTAGCCATGAACACATCCTGGTCTCATAAGTACGTAGAGAATTGGCCTTACAGAATTCTCCTTGAAGCGGCTTACACTTCACACTTACGTAGGTGATTCCTAAACGTGTAATCCTTTAGATTGACACTATTTGATAGATACCTCATCAAACTTTGGTAATCATTAAAGAACGTGTAAAGTTCTACCTTTGTTGCTGAATATTGTCTTCATCACGAGAATGGACCAAAGATTTTGTTTTGACAATGTTGAACCGGTCAATCAC